TATCAAAAAAGAAAGTCTTAAAACTGGACAATGTGTCAGCCTCATGGACAGAAACTTGAAGTTGGTTCCACAAGAGAGGAGCCTGATAACTGAAAGATCTTCCACCCATTCTGCTTTTAGAAACTCTAGGAACCACAAGTAAACCTGCAGTCTGAGAGTGAAGTGCTCTGTTAGGAAAATATGGAACAATAAGATCTGTAATATAAGATGTAGTTACTGGGAGAGATCATATCTCTCCAGTTTTAGCTTCTCTCCATTGGCTCCCTGTCAAATCCAGAATAGAATTCAAAATCTTACTTCTAACCTACAAAGCTCTCAACATCCTAGCTCCAGTTAAGACTCTGGCAGCAGCATTTTGGATCAACTGAAGACGTTTTAAAGAAGTATTTGGACACCCAGATAATAAACCATTGCAATAGTCCAGTCTAGACGTGACAAATGCATGGACCAGTTTTTCTGCATCATCTTTAGATCAGATGTTTCTAATGTTAGTGATATTACGCAGGTGGAAGAAGGAGGTGAGATGATGGACACTGCTGTTTATGTCAAAAAGGTCCAAGTTCAGATCTGAAAACATCAGAAGAGATTAAAGTTTGTGTAATCTAAAATTATACCAGTGTGCAAAAGTAACTTTTACCTAATATGAGCTGATCCTGCAGGAGATGTGACGTTGCATTAGAGAGGAAAAGGAAGAGGGAAAAAACTAAGAGTGGAAGATGCTAACTTTCTTTTTAATTTATTCAAGTGTGTGAATTTGAAATGTATATATATATATATATATATACATACATATACATATACATATACACACACACACACACACACACAGTCCTCCTGCATCGGCTTCGTGAAGGGTTAACCTTTTGCTGTCCAGTGAACCAATCGACTTTTGTCTTCCAACTTAAAACTCAAAGAATGTCACATCATAAAATTGTCATAAAAAAATACAAACTTTGTTCCAAATTAACAAGTTATCATTAAATTTGGAAAAAAACAAAATACAGGATATTTAGTAATACAAGAAAAATTATTGAAGTCCCATTTAAAACTGACAGTACTGAAATTCATAGAGTTAATTAAATACATTTTTTGGTGTTGTTATTGATGAGGACATGGAAATCTCATGTAAATTAATAATAAAAATAGCTAAATCAATTGCATTACTGTA